ACTTAGTAGAATCTAGAAATCGAGTGAGAGTGAGGCGTTCATTGTCACAACCAACCGTTGATTACGGTATGTGATGGGACACTGGCCCCCACCGGGTTCCGCCCCTGGACCCCTGCCACCGCCACTGGCGCCACCTCTGATTACAATCCAATATAAACGTATTTAAAAATATTATAGCAATAATAATACGATGATAGCAATTGAAATATATTAATAGTATATACAACTCCACAACAGTAACGCTTCATTGAAGAGTATAAGGTAAAAACTAGGTGGTCCCAGGCGAACCTGAAAAAAAAAAAGCAACAACATATGGGTTTCCAGGAAACATGGCCATGCCCCAAGCAATGCAGTCACAAAACAAAACCTTTTTCCGACGGGATTTCCTCGGGAAAACGTCTTTTCTACTGCGTTGTCTCATGGATTCGAATAAAAACGAAAGAATACATTTAAAACACCATTTTATGTAAACAGTCTATGTCAATGTAACCTTCTAAGTTTGATTTCTACAATGTTTTGAAAAGAAAAGTTTCTTTTTTAAAAGTCATAAGTTCAGTAGTGGTCAATTTGTAACAATGGGTTTAGGATAATCACAATTAACTTTAAACTTTGCTGAGTCAATAATAAAATATCGCGGCTGATAGTAGTGTTTCATGTTTAAATCGTTATAAAATGTAGAAAGAATTAGGTATAATGAGTGATTGTTATTAAGTAAGTATCAACACAAAGAGCACGATTTATTTTCAATTACGGAATAGGCCTATATGTCGGTAAAAAAGTTAATTAGGTAAATCGATCACGTTCACGTGAACCCTGTTTGTAAAAAAAGAAAAAAGTAAAGATAAAAATAAATAAATAAAAAAATAAACCAAGCTCGTGTTCTTAAAATGTGTTCTTGCAAAAAAGTAAGTAGCAAAATGATTAAATAAAATCAATCTGGACAGAAGATAATTAAAAAAACTAAAATTAAATGTTAGATAAGAGTAAGTGTTGCATTAACAAAATATGGATAAATGTAGACCTATTTAGCTAAAAGAATACATACGTGAGAGGTGAATAATTATATTAATCTATAAAGGAAAAAAGAGAGTGTAATTATTTATCAGTCTTGTTATTTTGAAACCCTCAACTAATTCAAATAAAACATGAAATTGTTCATTTATTATGAGACGCATCCGTTCTTGTTGGTTTTATAAATTGTAATGCCTAGTTTCCATAAAATCACTACACACCGCTACAGCTGACAGCATTCAGCGATATTGATTGGTCGATCGAATCGGGAAGCCTCCCAAATGACGAGGTCTATGAAGAGATATGTTACCTTTTTTATAAAAGAAATGTTACCTGTCAAGAGATAAACTCTAATCCGTCTTGAGGTAATGTTTTATGAATATACACAAATTGTAAGGTGAAGAAGAGGTATCAGCGAGTGTAATAAAGCCTCGTCGGATATTCCGTCTTATCGTTAAAGCTAGGCCGGTACTTTACTGCGCACGACGGTCGTCGGCCGACGCGATTCCATAAGGAACTCAACGCGACGACGCGCGCAACGGATCGTTTTTAATGACGATCCGTTCAGACTGCCACCGACAATCTGCACACAGCGTCGCGTCGTCTATCGATCACAGAGAACGGAGTTGGATTCGTCGTGCGACGGTCGTACGACGCAGTGAGTGAGAAGATGGCGTATCAAATGGAACTCGGTTTCACGCCTGTGCGTCGAATAATACTAGTTTTGTATCCGCATGAGTACTCGCGCGAATAAGCCCCCCGTTTAAATAATCCAATCAATCCTGGGACTACGGATGTTGGCATGATTTGAGGTGTGGAGTGGAATCACATTCTCCTTTAGTCAATATCAAAGTGAGGATATTTATCTTGGACAGATGAGAGCTCCCTGGACAGACAGTATATTTCCAACCTTCATCTTCTTACATTTGTCTATAGCCTAGTCCTACTCCTTTTCCGACATTTGCACCTTTAACACATTCTCATTTAAAAAATAAAAACTGCAATGATCATGCCGTTCTGCTTTTCTCAACCGGCCGATGGCCAAAAAGCTAACCACCACCACTAATTTCATCTGCTATTCTTCTGTTATGTAATACTGTAGGCCTACTCACAACATTCTTGTCATGACAAGCCATGCTCTCTGGACTATTATCTTTTCCGCCGCACCACCATTCGAAATTTGCGGTTTCCTGATATCCTTATATAATCATTAAAAATGTGCCTCTTGAATTTAATAAGTTCTCAAAAGAACCCCTCGATTTTCATCGATTTCCATAAGCGCCCCCTCAATTTCCACTCTGTTTTCATAAGCGCCCCATTCGAATAAGCGCCCCGTTTGAATAAGCGCCCCTCAAAGTGAAAAATATTTTAAGCGCCCGGGCGCTTATTCGCGCGAGTACGGTATTCTAGAGTCTTCCGCCTTCAATCGACTTCGAACTTCCAACGAAAGCCCTAGTGGCAGTATTGATTAGGGTCTGGATTTTCCAGGGTTCAAATCCCCGGTCGTTCGGGCGATTTTTTTACACTCAGAGATTTCTCTTTGTTACCGTTTAAAGTGTACATATTTATAAATATACATACACATAGGCCTGCATGCACACTTTTGTTTATGGACATTATGTTTACATTTTATTTGACACGCGGTATGGTTGACGTTATTGTAACTAATTGTTGTGTCAAACTTTATTCGTGATCAAATTCAGAAACATTATAATGCAAAAACCGTCTTGAGCATCGTTTTGAAGCAACATTTTTTTCATTGAAACAAAAAAATCGGCTGGTATACTAACATTTTCATTGTGACGAACAAGAAACCAATTTACCTTTAATATAATATAAATGTAACAGAGCACCACTAAAAACAAACTGCACTTTGATAAACAAGGCAGAAATTAATAAACATTACATATAGGGCTATGTATATACATATACACACATACATAGGCCTATAGTACATACATACATACATATATAAATACATACATATATATACATATATACATATACATATATATACATATACATATATATATATATATTATATATAGGCCTATCAAGTTTATGTTTCTCTTTACTGTTACATAAAATGTTTACATGAAATTCTTTTTTCAAGGTTCAACATAAACATAAATGAACCTTAAATATAAAATATAGTTAAATATTGTTAACATACAGGATACAATTAGTTAGTTAATATATATAAAAAATATATAATATAACATACATTACACATTAAAATCTTACTTATATACGCTAGTTGATTGTATACATATATATATAAATATATATATATATGTATGTATTATATATATATATATATATATATATATATATATATCAAGAAAGCCGTTAACGAACTTGATACCGCCAGATACACTCTATTACACAATTATAGGTAAGTCTAGAAACAAATAATTGCATATACTATAAATCAAGATTTATCAAATTTTAAGAATTATAACAAGACTGTTAAATTATATATAAATTATCAAAGAAAGGTAAATACAGTGTTCGAATAAAGGACATAATAATACATCGTGTAGCATAGATCTCAACGAATGTAGTCCTATAAATAAATGAATAAAGAGATTGTGTAATAAAATGTCTCTGACGGTATTTGAACCTGCGACTTCTCGCTGTCAAGGCGATGTTTGAACAGATTCAAATACAATTGTATCTGGCGGTACCGGGGTATTTGAAT